CAACTCAATCCCAAAGAAAGCATGTGATAACTATAGAAGTATATTTCTTGTGTAAAAGTATATTTCTTGGTGAAGGTTGAAGAAACTGCAGGAAATGTAGTTAAGTATCTGTATAAATTTGAATTAAAATGGAAACCTCCAGAAGATCTCAAAAAAAGTCATGTTTTAGTATTACAAATTTGAAAGAAATAAAAATTGGGAAATGATGCGGAAACAGGACAATGTAGTACAATTCCATTCTTTTAATGCCGTCACATAATAACAGCTTCTCAGCCAGATAGATGAATCGCACTAATGGGTGGCAAGAAGTTTGTGTCTACAATCTTTATATATCAAACGTTTAGCTAGAAATATTCATTGGAATGATTTTATATCCAAAAATCATGAAGAAAATCTGAAAGAGTTACTTCCCTGTATGGAAAATGAGGACTCAGTTGGTGGGAAATGGCTTGTACCAGCGAATAGAAAAGCAGTGCTTACTGTAATGCATTATCCATAGGACTTGTTGTAGTTCTGTTCATTAGATGAGTATTTGTTGAAGATGCAGCATAGCTTCAACCAATGAATGATACACACCATATTGATATAAGTGAATTGGGCTCAATACTTAACTAGAAAGTAGATTCAACAAAGTAGATAACTAGATCCAAAGCATAAAAGAACATAACAGTATACAGACATAAAAGAACATGAGACATAAAAAAGTAACAATGGTTAAATGCAGTTTTGAAGGAAGAATATCTCAACAGAACTCAAGGAATTTCTCAATTGTTGGTACAAAGACAGTTGAATAATATTAAGGAAGATATCTAGATCATAGTAGAATGAATTCCAACTGAAATAAATTTGGCCAATCGACTTTCACAAACCCCCTAATATGGTGCAGAACAGTGTGTGCAACTGGAGAAATTGAACAGAAAGAAATGAAAAAAATTTATTCAATTAGTCATTTTGGTGTTATTTGGTCATATGTTTGTTCTATGTATGCGTTTAATTATACTGTTATATACCTTAAGCTTCATAGACTGCTTGAAATTCTAAATTAGCATGCCTTTTTTAGCTTCATTGGTTTCTTTATGAAATAACTAGAATGTATAAGGTAAGGAGGTTTCAGCAGCAATAGCGAATTGTAACTAGTGCAACCCTATTGATCCTTACTCATTAAAATGATGCATGGTCAACAAAGCATAGAGCAGAATTGGACTTGCCACCAATGTAGTGCATGTAGGTGCAGAAGTTTACTTATCAAAGATTGACTGTGGTCCATCATGGTATACAAAATGACACAAACTGGTAACCAAAAAAGTTAATGAATTTATCGAAAATTTTCAAGAATTAATCTCTTTATTTGAACTGCTAGTTTATCTTCTAATGGACAACAAATCTTGGCTTAACACCTTAACAAGTTTTGCTAAAAAAGGCATGCTAATTTAGAATTTCAAGCAGTCTATGAAGCTTAAGGTATATAACAGTATAATTAAACGCATACATAGAACAAATAAAAAAACAGTTGTCTGCTCACATTGTTTAATCCCTATGGCAGTTTTGCTGTACAGTGAGGTAATATTATCTGACTGCACTGAAATTCCATCTCAGCAGTTTAAGAGAAAACCAACTTGTTTTATTCCAGGTATTAATACACGGAGGAAAGCAGGGAAGAATGATGTAAACAAGATATTTAAAGAGTATGATAATGTTTGAGTAAAATCAACTCAAAAAATAAAATGTGACCATATACCAGATGTAGTTTAAAAGCAAAATTTCTTGTCGTTTGATGTATAAAACTGCAAACTGGGTATATCCATGTCATATCTCACACCTGCATCGCCACACTCTAGACTTTCAGAATTCAAATGAATTACTCAACAATGTTCTTTATAGACCAAAAGATAAAACTAAAAATGCTGAGTAAGATATAACAATGATGTGGTTCAAGTTTGAAATAATTCTCAAGAACATAATGAACAGCAAGAAATGCACTCCAAACATTAAATTTGTGTGTTAATTCACCAAGTGGGAATGTTCTATTGTTAGTGAATTATAACTGTATGTGTTAGATTCACTATATAAATTAATAAATTTGTGAGTTAATTCACCTTGATAAATGTGTTAAAAACTATGTATTAATTTACAATTACTATTTAATAATTATTTTAATAAATTGAAATTATTTTCATGGAGATTTTAATTTTGTAACATATATACAATAATTTGTTTTAAAAAAATGACACTCAGTCGTTTTAAATACATAAATTTAATAAGTTTTAAGAATAAGAACAAGAAATTTTTTTACAAAAAAATTTCTGAATTAGTTTTAAATTTCAAAATTATATTTAAAATGTATTCACTCAAAGAAAAAAAAAGGAAATGAAAGAAAATGAAGTTATTAGATGCATTCAGCTGATGAAAGAGATGCTATTTGGAGTAATTGTATTAGCTGGGAGTTAAAAACAGTAAAAAGCACAGTTTTAATAATAAGGTCAGTGTTGGTGGTTATGACTGGTATAAAGGTTTTATGGAGAGACATTTTATTTTAAAAACTTGTCTCTTTGTAAACCTGAGGTTACATTAGCTACTTGTGCTATAGGATTCAAGCACATAGCTATTGGTTTTTTTGTTTTTTTAAATAGAAAAATCTGTAGATACAAACAAGCTTTATGTTGAGAAAATCATGAATTGTAAAAGACAAATATTTCTACAGTTCTAAAGTGTCTCTATAAGTTTCTTTTATTGAAGGCAGAAGAGTTGGTTTGGTTTCTATTAGCAGTGCTAATTCTGCAGCATAGGTGTAGTATTTGCACAGACATAGTTGTACGTCTTGAATCAATATTGGTTTAAAAGAAAGCATTTGGTTTAAAGTCAAAATTCCTTGCATCAACGCATCTTAAGGTCAAAAATCCTTGCTGGAATATGTGTTAAGGTTCCTTAGACTCTCTCACAAACTCATTGTTCAGCTTGTGCTAATGCTTGTTTAGCGTTAAAAAGGCCTATTACAAGGTGATTAAGAATTATTTAGAAAATCAAATAAAAACATATTTTGCTTGTAATTGCATACTTATTAAAAAATAATTTATATAGGCTCTTCTTAATCTTAACAACAATCAGAAAACAAAACCAGTGCAGCAAGTTTGCTCCAATTTCAAGCCATATGAAAAAGAAGCAGTGACTTTGGTCAACAAGGATGAATATATCTATGCTATAAGCCATATGAAAAAGAAGCAGTGACTTTGGTCAACAAGGATGAATATATCTATGCTCAAAGGCTCCCAAGAGCATTCAAGAGGCATTACAATGATGAAATTAACAGTGCAGAAACTACAGTGTTTTCTGGGCGATCTTAAATGATTGCCAATGTTAATGAGATCACTGACAAACTAATGCGTGATCTAGATAAAAGAAAGAAAACCTACTCTGGGTTGAACTCTCCATTTGGTTTTCTTGTGAATCTCCACAATATGGATATCATGGAGATTACTTGCAGTGCACAAAATTTTGTTGACCGATATCCTACTGATCTTAACTTTCACTTATTGAACAAATGTTTTTATTTTGGAGTTTTTTTTAGGAACGTCTTTTAGATCTATCTATTGTTCAAATAGAAAACCGGGTATTGGATTCCATCGACATAAAAGATATATCTGCATTTGCAAGCTTAAAATGCAGACAAAAGGTGTTTTAAAACCTATACTAATTGCAGGATGTTTTTTTAAATACAAAAGAAAATTAATTGTAAAGCAATAGCGCAACAAATAAAATTTTTATTTTACTTTGAACTGCTGTTAAGTTTGAAAAATACAAGGCCAACAGGGACCAGAAGGCCTAAAGTACTGGGGGGCCAAGAAGTGCTTAACCTGGCCCTGTAAGTAATAACTAACAATTCCAGGGTGCGCGTCGCATGAACATTTTATGTCCAAAGCTATTTATTTTCTTAAAATTGACAGATAATCAAAAGAAAGAAGTGCAGTCTATGGCCAAGTTTATCTCAATCTTTTATTCTTTTAAAAACTTCTTTACCTTACGCGCCTTACCAAGATAAAAACTCTATTGGCAAATTAAAAAATATAGAGAATATGTAAAACAATATGTTCAGAATTTTGAAACAACTTTAAATGGAATTAATGCCACAATGGTTTCAATAAAATTACATTTATGGTACCTTAATGAAAACTTGGTTTCACTTGCTCTTTTAGATCAAGAAGTTTCTGTTGCAGAAAGAGAAGATGTTGCAAAAATGCTCTTTTCAAAATCAGTTTCTGAAATTTTTTGGCATTCCAAATGAGGTTACCTCCAAGGATTAAAGAAAACTTTTTAAAGACCTATAAAAACCTCATTTGACAATATTATAAAAACTATCCAGGTTATTGCTTTTTCCGCATTTGAAAATAGTTTATTAGGAAATCAAAAACATTTGTTATACGCCAACAAGTGATAAAATAGGTTTTTGTAAAGAAAAATTTGGATTTTTCACTAATTTTAGAAGTTTCTGTACACTAATTTCTTAGTTTTTTTTAACATGCTCCTTTTTTTTGACTAATATTCAATCCAACATCTAATATTTAAAAGAACAAAAAATTTCATTGGATAAACTTTAAGATCCCCGCCGGGCGTTTGGGTAAAAAATGTTTGGGCGTAAAACACCCAACATTTTTGACCCAAAATCAAACTGGTGGGGAACATAAAAATTCTTCTTCTTTTTTTTTTTTGCTTAAACTTACTTAGATATAAATGGTCAATTTATAAATCGATTTGCGAATTTTCAAAAACTGATAAAATATGAAACACCCTAATACACATGCATAGTAAAATTTTTTTACAATTTTATTAAATTGTTATCATTGGTCAATTAATATAAAAATAGAAATTAAAATAAAAAAACAACAAAAGTAGATTTATTACTTTTAATGATGAAAAAAAAAAGTTTTTTATTTTCAAATAAAGACATTATTATAGGTTTGAATTATCATTGTTTTTTTAAAAAGAATTTGGTAAATTTTACTTACATTTACTAGAAGCAGGCAAAAGTGACACTAAAAAAAAAAAAATCATCATTATCATCATCATGGTCATCATCATCATCATCATCATCATCATCATCATCATCATCATCATCATCATCATCATCATCATCATCATCATCATCATCATCATCATCTTCTTCATCATCATCATCATCATCATCATCATCATCATCATCATCATCATCATCATCATCATCTTCATCATCATCATCATCATCATCTTCATTATCATCATCATCATTATCTTCATTAAAAAATAATGATAAGAAACTTACTATTACTAACATCAGGTGAAAGATATAAAACTAAAAAAAAAAAATAGACATTTTACAATATTATAATAATGGTAGTAACAAACAATATTTAGGAAAAAAAAAATTCAAATAGTTACAAAGAAATAAACAGTAAATATTAAATTTAAACAAACAATGATTATATATATATATATATATATATATATATATATATATATATATATATATATATATATATATATATATATATATATCCTAATAGTGTAGTCAAAAGAGACTTTTATGGTAAAAAAAAGTCTCTTTCGACTACAATCTTTTTACCTTGTCTTTTAAGCTGCATTTTATTGTTGCCCAAATGTCAAAACAATTAAATTAATGCGGAAGTACATTAAATTTTATTGTTTTTTAAAAAAACCGCAATAATAATGACTAGAAAGTTTTTTTTAATTAGTGGTGTTTTTGTTTTTGTTTTATTAAAAAACATTTTTAAAACTTGCGTAAGTGTTGCTACATCGACTATCTTAAAGCCTGCTGCTACAAGGAAGTGTTGCTATCAACTATCTTATAGCCTGACTCGCAACGGAGTGCTACTACATCAACTGACAAATAGCCTGACTCGCAAAGGAGTGCTGCTACATTGATTGACAAATAGCCTGACTTGCAAGGGAGTGCTGCTACATTGACTGACAAGTAGCCTGACTCGCAAGGGAGTGCTGCTACATCGACTGAGGGTTTGGTTTGGGCATGCAGTCTATCATTTTAAAAAAAAAAAATTTTTAGAAGATTTTTAACATTTTCTGGTAAGGCTTATTAACGCGCTCTTTAAAACAACAGTTTATGGGAAAAACTTTGTGACTACCATGCAAGGCTATATATATATATATATATATATATATATATATATATATATATATATATATATATATATATATATATATATATATATATATATATATATATATATATATATATATATATATATATATATATATATATATATATATATATATATATATATATATATATATATATATATATATATACTCTTGCATGGTAGTCAGAAAGAGTTTCCCATAAACTGTAGTTTTAAAGAGCGCGTTAATAAACCAGACCAGAAAAAGTTTAAAAACTTAATTTTTTTTTTTTAGCTGCCTGCCCAAACCAAACCCTCAGTCGATGTAGCAGCACTCCCTTGCGAGTCAGGCTATTTGTCAGTTGTTGTAGCAGCACTCCCTTGCGAGTCAGGCTATTTGTCAGTCGATGTAGCAGCACTCCGTTGCGAGTCAGACTATAAGATAGTCGATGTAGAAACACTCCCTTGTAGCAGCAGGCTATAAGATAGTCGATGTAGCAACATTTACGCATGTTTTAAAAATGTTTTTTAATAAAACAAAAACAAAAACACCACTAATTAAAAAAAACTTTCTAGTCGTTATTATTGCGGTTTTCTAAAAAATTTTTAAAAAACAATAAAATTTAATGTACTTCTGCATTAATTTAATTGCTTTGAGATTTCGACAACAATCAAAAACAGCTTAAGAGACGAGGTAATTAAAATTGTAGTCGAAAGAGACTTTTTTTACATTAAAAGACTCTTTCGACAACACTATAAGAATATATATATATATATATATATATATATATATATATATATATATATATATATATATATATATATATATATATATATATATATACATATACACACACACATGTTAATTACTTAACTAGAACTGATAACAGTTTCTGGAGGAACAAGTAATTTTTTTTTGAAACAGTCACAATTAAATGAGCCAATAATCTTTAATGAGATAATCTTTAACTTCTTTCATACTTTACATTTATTTGGGTTTGTCAGCTTGAATATGTTTGAAAAAAAAATTTACTGTACAAAATATAAAATAAAAGTATAGAATTAGGGTTGAGCTCGGTAAAAAGTAACTTAATATATTTACCTGTAAATTTACTGTTAAATTACTACAATTATACTAAGTAAGTGGGTGGATTGACTGTAAGTGTGTGGATTGTCTGTAAGTAAGTGGGTGGTTTGACTGTAAGTAAGTGGGTGGTTTGACTGTAAGTAAGTGGGTGGTTTGACTGTAAGTAAGTGGGTGGTTTGACTGTAAGTAAGTGGGTGGTTTGACTGTAAGTAAGTGTGTGGATTGTCTGTAAGTAAGTGGCTGGGTTGAATGAAAGTAAGTAGGTGGTTTGACTGTAAGTAAGTGGGTGGTTTGACTGTAAGTAAGTGTGTGGATTGTCTGTAAGTAAGTGGGTGGGTTGAATGAAAGTATATAGGTGGTTTGACTGTAAGTAAGTGGGTGGTTTGACTGTAAATAAGTGTGTGGATTGTCTGTAAGTAAGTGGCTGGGTTGAATGAAAGTAAGTAGGTGGTTTGACTGTAAGTAAGTGGGTGGTTTGACTGTAAGTAAGTGTGTGGATTGTCTGTAAGTAAGTGGGTGGGTTGAATGAAAGTATATAGTATAGTATATAGGTTACAATTAAAATACTTCCATCAGGGTACATAATAAATATATTTATATATTTATTATATATCTTGTATTCTTTTATTTTAGAATATTATACTTTATATACATAAAATATAATATTCTTCAGGATAGCGCAAAATTATTATCAATATTCAAAATCACCTTTTCTCAACTCAAGCTTTATTAATATGCCTTTTTTCACTTATAGTGTTGAATGATACTCTTATATATATATATATAATACTCTTATATATATATATATATATATATATATATATATATATATATATATATATATATATATATATATATATATATATATAATACTCTTATATTATATTATATAATACTCTTTCCTCCCCCCCCCCCTAATTTAAAATTCTATTTTCATGTATTTAAAACACATGAAAGAAATAAAATAATTTTTATTTTATCACAAAAAAACAAAAAAAGTTTATTAACATAAACAATATTTAATCTAAAATAAAGTTTACAATACCTATATAAATAATGTTTAATATAAATAAATACCTGCAGGAAGAACAACAGGTTGCATTTCTCCACCTAACATAAAGATTGAAACTATTTTATAAATAAAATGATTTATTCATAAGCAATTATTATCTATTCCTTTATTAATTATTATCTATTATTATTTTAATAATAACAACTTATTATATTAATATTGTTTTAAAATAAAATGTTTAACAAAAAAAAAAAAAAAAAAAAAAAAAAAGTGAACTGCTAGGTTTGAAGCCTCCCCACATCTTATTTTTTTGTTTTTGAGAATATCAGGGATGTAGTGGGGACCAAAATTGGTAATTCCGGCTTGAAAGCAAGCATTCTATCATTACTGCATCACATAAAGGTATTACATAAAAGTTTGATCAAATTAGCTTTTGAACTAATTTTTTATAAGAAATAAATAAATCATATATAAAACTTTTTATTATTATACACAAATAAAGAGATATCATATTTTTTTAAATTTAAAACTAACAATATCTTTTTGTTATTAAAACAATTTTAAACCAAATTTACCTATTTAAATTTTTTTTTTTTTTTTAATTTAGTTAAATTTAAAATTTTAACAAATTTAAAAGAACAGTAGAAAATATATTCACTCAAGTTAAATCTACATGAACAAATATTTTATTAAATAATTAATGAATTTTATTAAATATCAATTTAATATTCAACTTCAAATTTAGACTTTAACTATTTTGTTTAATAAAATGTGGAAAAGATATAAGAATATTGTGAGTTTAATAAAATGTGGAAAAGATATAAATCGAGAAACCCACACTATGTGTGGGTTTCACACCATATATCTTTTCCACATTTTATTAAACTCACAATATTTCCTTGTCCTGAGTAAATTCCAAGGTATAACATAAATTTTAATAAATGAATAAAAGAAAAGCATTGAGTGTATTCTGTAAAGGGAAAAAAAAATTATAATAATAATAGTAATAATAATAAAATCAAAGTTATTTAAAAAGATTTCTAATGATATCGTGTATAAAAACTCTGCATAAAAACAAGAATACAATTTATTGCACTTAATAAAAAAACTTACTTATGTTACCATTAATAACAAATAAGTTTTTTATTGAGCCATCTTGAGCATTGTACCATGGATCAGATGCATATACTGTGACATTAACAAAACTTTTTGGCATATAGTTAATTTCTGAAGAGATAAGTTCATCATTTACTTTAACTGTATATATATAAAAAGAGCCATTGAAAAATTGACCAACTTTAATATTTGTCCACCTATTTAAGTCGATTGGCTTAGTAAAAAAAATATAATTTTTGTTTCCATTAATAGGAGCAGCAATGTAAAGCCCACCTTTACCATCATTATTAAACCAAACACCAGGAACTCTATCCCCATAATCGAAATTATCTGAACCAATAGTTAAATGAATAACATTATAAAAACCAGCGACAAACTTATTAGGGTTAACATCAAATGAAACTAAATATTCTTTATCTAGTATTGGAATTATAGCAACAATTTTCCCTTTTAATAACGGAGTGATGATACTGCCAACAAGATATTCTAAAATATTTAATATAATATTTGGATGATACAAATGATGCAAACAAAAAAACAGTTTTCTCATTCAAATTATTTTTTTATAGAACTATTTTATTTTTGTTGCAGAAACAATGTTTTTATATAAAAACAGTATATTAATAAATATTACAATTATTTAAATCTCATATTCATTTTTTTATATTTAGTATTATTAATAATTTCTCTCTTTGAATGAGATTAGTTAAATGAGATAGTTGTCTTTTCATTAAAAAAATTGGTTTCAAAATTGATGCCTGTTGCCAAAATCTTCTCAAAATAAAGTAATTTTAAAAAAATCTGTTTTCTATTTTGTTTGACATGTTTTTAAATTTTTTACTTATTTACTTCTCCATAACTTCCTACTACTATGGAATCACATAAATTTTTTATACATGTTTAATCGCTGTTTCTATTAATAATAAATATTTTTAATTATCGTATTAAAGTTTTCTTTAAAATAGACTGTACTCAGTTCCTCAGTCCTGTAGATGGCGGCTGTTATAACTGATTTTGAAAAGTGCCTTCAACATTAATTGTTTTTCAAGAAAAATGATGTGTTTTATATAGACTTTATTCTTTTAATATATTTTTGCTACATATTTAACTATATATCATGTAAATAAATTTGTTTTAAAGATATATAAACTTAAGACTTTTTACGGATTTTTCAAAAAGTTTTCCATGATCACAAATTTAAATATTCTTTACATCTGTTTTATATAGTTTTGACATCTGTTTTATAACAGATTCAGCTCATTGCCTATACAAAAATTGATAAAAAGTTTAAAAAAAAAACTAATAATATGAGTTAAATGAATGCTGAAATAAAAATGTTGACATATGTTAACTCTAAAGTTAATCAATATACTTGTTTACCTTTTTTTTTATTTATTTTTTTTTATTTTATTTTTTTTTTTTTAAAAGAAAAATGAAATTTTTTAAAAATTTCATAGCGCATATAATGTTCAAATATTGCAAAAATAAACAATTAATAACATCTCTAATAACGCTAAGATCATTATTTACTGCCATTTTTTGTAACCTATTGAAAACAAATAAAGAATAAATGTAAGGTGTGGATCAGGCCAAGACCTGTGTTATGGGTCGGAATAGCTTTAAAGTAACCACTTTTAAATTAATACAGAAATCATTTTTAAATTAACCGTTAACGCAAAGCCAAGTTAAAGTTTTTTTTTTAGCCAATTACTTAAACCTATTGGAATAATTAGACTAAATTAAGAATAAGTATAGAAATGGTAGGTACAAAACATAGATCCGATTTTGGGATCAATGTTTTTTGCATTATTTATCTCCCTTATTTTAGAGTCAATTAAAAATATGTAAAACAATTTAATTTTTTTAATTTAAGATAATCTTTTTTCTTTTTTAGTATCACCAGGCTGTACTTGGCTTTCTTTCTCTGGTGAATGCTGTTTTAACTTATTTAAAACAGAGCCTAATAACTCAAGTTAGATGATTTTTGTATTTCATTTTAGAGTTATGTTTTTATAAAATCCAAGAAAAATAAAAACGAGCAGGACTCTATATAAAAGGTCTACATAAAAAAATTATATATAGATAAATTTTTATTTGATTAGAGAAAATATATAAAGTTAAACTGTTATTATTGATTTAGTTACTAATAATTAGTATTATGGGTTGCTTACTGTCAGTTACACATGAAAATAAAAATGAATGCCCATATTAATATATAACATGTTTATAACTAAATTTTTACCAGCTTTTCCATTAATAATAAGAAGATCGGAAAGTGAACTATTTTGTGCTGCATCCCAAGGATTAGAGACATACACTTTTACAGTTTTAAAATCTCTAACATCAGAATTTTCCACTCTCAGAATGTTTACTTTGTTTAAATCAACAGCAAACCAATATTTACTGTCCTGCAAAAACTGATATATTTTAATATTTGACCATTGACCCAATGTGAGTTGATCTGTTTTAATAGAGTATTTATTATTTCCACTTATTGCAGAATAAATAACAAGCTTTCCAGAACCATCATCATCAAAAAAAACGCCTGGATTTCTGTATCCATAAGCTTCACTACTGCTTCCCAAGGTTAAATGAAGAACACTTTTCCATCCATATGAATAATTTAAAGGCTTTAAATTGAAAGATAAGGTATAAGTCTTTGCCATAACATTCAGTGTTCCAAGAAGAAAACCTTTAGTAGGTGTAAATTCTTCTTGATGATTAATATAATCTAAATAAAAGTTAAAAAAAAAAAGCGATAAAATGAATAAAAGATATCAACATCAGCTTCTAAAAGAAAATAATTAAAAACCCATGTGTATGTATGTATGTATGTATGTATGTATGTATGTATGTATGTATGTATGTATGTATGTATGTATGTATGTATGTATGTATGTATGTATATGTATGTATGTATGTATGTATGTATGTATGTATGTATGTATGTACGTATGTATGTATGTATGTATGTATGTGTGTATGTATGTATGTATGGTTTATATATTAATTCCTTTAATATACTATTCACTTTTATTGTGGAATTTTTAATTGTTGTAATAATTCTTAAAATGCCTGCATTCTATTACAATGAGAAAATTTAAAACATTTTTTTTAAGCTGTAAAAATTTTCATAGGTCTTTGTCAAGTTTTTATTAAACAAGTCATGTTGTTAATAAATAGTGTGAAAACCCAAAGACAATGTTTGTCTAAAGAATTTTTCACTGAGAAATAAATGATGCTTGTTATGTATTTATTCTTGTAACATTAACGTTACAAACAAGCAAGTTTGTAGCAAATATAAAACCTAGTTTTATATTTAATAAGCAATTTTTTTAAATGAATAAACAGATGGCTTGTGCAAAAATAAAAAGCCCTTGTAAGAAGCTGTTTAGAGGAGCAGCTCGCATGCTTTGCCATGTTCATTTTTGGAGAGCTTTTCTGCACTCTCACTGTCATTTATTCCCGCCAAGGCCTGATTTTTATTAGTTACTCATTATCATAATGGTAAATCTAGCATTTTTATCATCCAAGATAATATCCTGATGGAAAATGAATAATAACATTTTCATTATATATTTAAAATCTGGAAAAACAAACTTTTTGACATATAAATAGCAATCTAAAGCGTCTAATACAAATATGAAATTTTTCCATCTTACTAATTATTTTAATTTTTTCATTATATCCTTTAACAAATTAACATTCATTAAATATTATAATTTAAAATACAACACCTTTTTTTAAATTTGTTTAAATTAAATTCAGGTAGTGCCACTGATTTATTTAAGACATCTAAACTTTAAAGTGAAAATCGTTTTTAATCAGAGGATTTCATAAAGTGTTTGAAACTGAAGAAGATGTGATTTTTGCAATGGTTCTTAAGAGAATTTGGAAGGAATACATTTTATGAGCTATTTCAAGGTGCATTTATTTACCTTTATTTAAATATTTCTCTTTAAAATCTCTCAAAACCAGCCCCTTAATTTCCACCTCAAAAATGTAAGATATACAGCTGTGACCAAAGTAGTTCATGAATTTATACAATAAGAATTATTTTAAACTTATTACCTTACCTGTTGGAAGAATAACAATAGGTTGTATTTCACTATCTAAGAAATAAAATAAAATTACTTATAATAATAAATTTCGATACAAAAAATAGACTCAAGTTTAATAAGCATGAAACTTAATTTAAATAAAATAAAAAACCAATCTATGAAGAGAGGTTAGTTCTCCCCAAAATAAATCTTTTGAATCAATAAAGTCCAGTTAAAATAAATCGAATAACAGAGTATAAATAGTACAAAATACAACAGAGGGTGTATACTAGGAGTGGAAATTATTTTTTTTCAAGTGACGACTCAATAACTAACAGCAAAGTAATTACCTAAAACTGACAAAAATATAAAAATAAACTATAAAAACGCAAATAAAACCTCTACGCAAACCTTGAAGTATTATCAAAAGTTTGAACATTTAATACCTCATACTGTTTAACTATCATATATTTTATATATTTAAATATAACCTTTATTTAGATGTATAAGATATCTAAAAATAATTTAAATAGAGAAACTGATTGTCCTTCTGATATTCCAAAGCCAAGAAATTGTATATATGGAAATTTGACTGAGAAGACATTGAAGGATATTTCAAAAATATATAATATACAAAGTAGATATTAGAAAGATATAATTTTTTCTTAGAATTGGGTAATGTTATTAATGTTACCAAGTGATTTTATTATAGAAATCTTAATACAAGTCTGTCAATTATGGAATAAAATGACTATACCATGTTTTCTGGAGAAATCCCTGCAAAAGTCATTCAAAACTATAAACTTTTTATTAAATCAACACAAAGTACAACTAAGAGACAAGTATTATAAATACATGGCATTAAACATTCAACTTAATACCTAATAACATTAAATTTAAAAATTTGGAAGACATACTCTTTTATGAGCTAGATCTTTGGTTATATCTTTAAAATGTAATGAAGGAAATATTTGGTCCAACCAATGGTCCCAGCAGGAAGCTATATGTTACTCTCCAAAAAATATGTCCGCAGATTTATAGAGATGTAAAAAATTTATAGAGAATTGTGAAATTTGACTGGACTCAAGATGCCTTTAGACCTAACTCTTTGTTGTACAAACTTGCTTCGGATACAAAAGAATCCTGTATCACAGCTCTTCGTGAGAGTACTTTCCAGAGAGGATATTACAGGTATCTTTGTGAGCTTCTGGCATTTTTTCTAGGAGCTGAGTTACCAAAGTTCTCATTTAAACAACCGGGAGCTCATCATGAAGCAAGTTTTATGGCAGACTGTATCTACTTGCTGGTGATTCAAATGACTCAAATGTACTACCCAGTTGATTCTGAATCTGGTAATATAAGCACGTTAAGTAATCTGAAGGCTGCAACCAACTACATTGTATTTTTTCACGGCTTCTTTTTTCTAAAATGCGCAATGGTTTCTCAAGCACCATCAAATGATTTGATGGCATTCAATATTGCTTTTCAGCTGCAAACAATGGATGAGTTTAAAGAATTTGCAGTTGTGGGAAAGGTTCTTTACCAAAGCCTTAGCCATCACACTTGATACCTGTCCCCCCAACAAGTAGTTTTTGCTCTTACTGATAAGGAACTGAAAGTTGAAGTTAAGAACAATATGTGAAATAAGCTGTTTTCCTATGATGTCCCGCTGTTGCAAGATCTGATTAAAAAGAAACCTGAATCTATTATTGAAATTGCTCCTATATAAACTAGATGATTTTATCAATGAACAGTCCTATCTTTTGTTTTTGCTGTTGGATATTTCCAAAAAAGAACTTCTCCTCTGGAAAGAAAAAGGCATCGAAGCATGTGAAAGTGAGAAAACCTCTCAGTCTTTTACATACTTCTCAAAGTGCGTAAGAACACTTGCAGTTGTAAATGACCGTGCAGAATGTCGCATCAAGTTGATTCAAGATTTTGTTGAGAGAACACACAATGAAGATAGGCTTCAGGATACTCTCCAGGTATTTTATTATATACACGCAATATAATTGGCACTTATTAGCAAGTATAATATGAATAGTTAATATATAATATTTACTTAATATATTTATATTTTTAGGATGTCCAGAGAAACCGGCAGCAGATATCGAAAAAGGCTACAAAGAAAGATCTTAATACTATTATTTAGTTGAGTAATATTTTGTAGTTAAAAATATAGGTTTATATTTGTATTATTATTAATTTTTATTTCTTTTGAAATTAAATGATAAACCTAATCTCCAAATTATTTTTTTTACTTTTCACACTAAAATTTGCTTCAAGGTCAAAACATTGACGTTTTTACTATAATTCGCAAAAATGATGCTAAATGTATCGTTTTATCCCATTTAAAAGTGAACTCATCTCTAAACTCAATTAGTGATTTTACAATGAAATTAAAAAATTTCATAGCACGCAAATTCACCTGTTTGACACGCACCAACAATTTTCTTTTGTTTTAAGTAACAATTGCTACTTTTATATTAAGATAACATACAATTTTATCTCAAAATTTATATATTAAAAAAAAAGGAAATTGACCTAAATAACCTTCAGCTAGAGCTAGAGACTTAATTTTTTTGTTTGTCTTCATTTTCAAAAAGACGCAGAATGCAGTATTCCACACATCAAAATTCAATATATGATACTTTTTTGAGACACCCTAATATATATATATATATATATATATATATATATATATATATATATATATATATATATATATATATATATATATATATATATATATATATATATATATATATATATATATATATATATATATATATATATATATATATACATATTTTGAGAAGTAAAGTGAAGTTGAATAGGAATAAAGTGAAGGCAAATAAATTCTATATATATTACGCATACCTAATGAGTGTTTATAAGTGAAAAAGAATTAAAATAAAAAACTTAAATTAATTAAAACAAATATTAAAAATAAAAAATTCTAAGTTAAAAAATTTCATTAAAGAATTTCTTTATAAACTATATTACTCTCGAGTCCCTAATAAAAGAGGAGGGGGGTGTTTATTAATTTTTGGAAAATTTTCAAATCCACCCTAATGTCACCAATAACAATATTGGCAGAGGGGTAATGAGAGAGGGTATGGTCAAGCTTATTAAGACCTCGAGAGTAAGAGCATTAACAATAATGTTTTTCTTTACACGCAATTGTATAATTGCGTGTAACATGTCATGCGTGTAAAATAGGAAATATTATGAAATCAACTTGAAATATTCAAGCAAAAAAAAACTTTCAATAAAATTAAGACAAGAATAAAAAGCATTACTTTATTCCAAATAAAATTTTTGTTATTTTTCTAGCAACTGCTACAAAGTCGAAGAAGTATATAGAAAAAGATATCGAACATAGTATTGGTGTGACTTTAAAACACGCTCCATTGCGAAAAGGTGGTTTGAAAAATCCAAGTAATGACAACGGTTAAAATGTCAAGAAATGAAATTTATAAATATGTTCTTTTAATATTGTTAATCATTTAATATTATTTAAATTAATCTTTTAATAGTGTTTACAAATATTTTTATTTTAATTCTTGTTTTTTATTTTCCAGAAATTGAATTTTTGTAAGAGAAAATATTAACTGCGTGCAATGCTAGTATAAAACATTTTAAACCTAATATTTTATAAGGGTAATAAACCTTGTTGTTTATTAACTGAATTACTTAACTATTTATTAACCCTAGTGCCTTTAATTATATTAATATTTATTATCATAAATATATTAGCATCAATCAGTTAATTAATAAAAAAAAAACAAAAATGGACTCCTAGAGGAATTGAACTTGGAGTGCAGGCACCACGTCCAAATTTATTAACCACTACAACACAAAATATTATAACTAAATAAGTTAATACAGTTTAAGTAAAATGAATTTTTTCTGACACATATTTTTAAAGTAATTAATGCTTTAGATAAAATAAATTACAAATGATTAATACGTAAACGTTACATTAGCATTACACTATCAGGGAATCAGCGTTACACTATCTGTGACCTGGGTAAATACATATATATATATATATATATATATATATATATATATATATATATATATATATACACATATATATATATATATATATATATATATATATATATATATATATATATATATATATATATATATATATATATATATAATTCATAACTAAATTTGTAAGTAACTTATAACACTTACTTGAAATCCCATTGATGACAAACAAACTTTTTATTGAGCCATCTTGAGAATCACCCCATGGATCTGTAGCATAAACTTTTACATTATTGAAACTTTTAGGCTGGGTGATAAATTGAGAATAAACCATTTCTCCATTGATTCTGATTATATAAATGTAATCAGAGCCTTTTAAAATTTGGCATAAATCAATGTTTGACCACATATTAGTTCCAATTAAATTAGAGTAAAAAGTCCAATCATCACTAATAGGTGCTCTTATTGCAAGCCTGCTATCTTCAGTAAACCAAATACTAAGAGGACTGTTTTCATAGCTACCAATATTGTTTTTATCTGCGAAATGAACCACACTACGCTTACCTGACAAAAATTGATTGGGATTGATGTCAAATGATATTAAATATTCTTCATTTAGATCTGGTATTTCAGCAATAAGTTTTCCCATCACTAAAGGAGTAATTTTATTACCAACAAGGTACTCTAAAAAATAATAATAAAGATATTAAAAAAATATTATTTATCACAACACAACTATTTTTTCAAGCAGTTAAATAAATATCTTATATTTATATATAAAATTTATTTTGAAATGTATTTAGTTAATTGTATAATTATATAAACTTAAGATTTTAGATTGATTGCCAATCAAGGTTCAAGAGATTTTGACTTTTGATAAATATACAAGCTTGATATTTTAGCCTTGGTGATCCAAGTATTAACTAGTATTGATTCCAATCAAGAGATTTTGAGAGATTTAGTGTTCGAATGTTAAAGTTCCATTTAAGCTAATTAAAGACTCAAAATTTGTAAGGAAGCAAAAAAAAACGTTATTATTTTTTTATTGTGTGTGTAGTAAGTACAATTATTTTAACGTAATTATAATGATTATTACAACAAAATTTAATTTTCTTTTTTGTTATTATTAAATTTAAGTCAAAAACAATATACTTATTAAATGCATATATATTCTAAATGGACCTCTCAGTCAAAGAACAAAACTCGTCCTTTTAATAATTTTCTTCAATTTCTGCAACCCTATAATAAACTTGGTACCCATAAGTAGCAAAGAATTTTTTTACTTCCTATAAGTAATACTTTTTAATTCATCAATAATTATTACTAATTATTAAAGTGTAACAATCTATATATCAAAAAAATATTTTTTGATATATAGATTATTACACTTTAGAAAAACTTTTTATTTAGACATACATGTGTGTATTATCGGTCCCATATATTGATACTATCTATATCAATCCCATAAGTTATGACTCAATGTTCTGTAAGTAACATTTTAAATACTCATTGTAAGTAAATGCTGTCACTGTTTTTAAAGTTCTGATCCAAAACTTTTGAATATTTAAAAACTCAAATTTCCAACTAAACATCTAACTATGAAACTATTTAAAATAGGAAATATTATGAAATCAACTTTAAATATTCAAGCAAAAAAAAATTAAGCAACGTTATTATTAAGATTGTTTTTATTTCAGATAGTAATAAAAATAAAAAATAAATAAAAATAATAAAAAATTACAACTAAAATTAATGCTGAAAGAGAAATGAAAAAAGAGGAAAAAAAAAAAGAATTTGTCAAGAAACGCTAAGAGAAAAAATAAGAATACACAAAGTTATTTAAATGAAAAAAAAAAAGATTTAAAAAAGGTAAAAATAACAAAAACAACTACATTATAAAACTTTTCAAATTACTTAGAGGAAAACAACCTGATAAATAACAATCAGTTTGGTTTTCGACAAAGAAGGTTGACTTTTTTGATGTTTGCCAGCTGCAACACAATTTCTAGATAACATTAAACAAAAAGTCAAAGATAAAATAATTGGAGCAGTAATTTTTGACTTTGCATTTGACATTTTGAGTCAGGGAAAACTAATCAACAAGTTTAGCATTTATGTTGTTACACTTTGGTCCGGTTAAAAGATTACTTAACAGATCTCAACCATTTGTTTTCAAAATGTCTGAAACAATATGTTGTACAAGGTGTATCTTAAAGGTCAATATAGGGCCCTTTACTATTCGTTATTTACTTTAATTAATTTGTATCTTGTTTGAAACACTTAAAATCTGTTATTTATGCTGACACAGTTATATATCTGCGGCCATTGGTCAATTTATTGGTCATTTTGAGATAAGCAGTTTTGTTATACTTTGTATCTTTCATTTGGTCAAAATATGATTGTTGTAGTTTAAAAAAATAATTTATTTTTATGAAAAATATTTTTTCATTGATTTTCACCTAATTTTTACCTGATGGCAACAAATCAAATTTTCAAACTCTTTTTCTGCAAAATGTCATATTTGTACTTATCATAAATTGACTACAGTTATGTTTCAGGAAAAAATGCCATATTAAGCATATTAAGCCATATTACATGTTTTCTTAAATTATGCAAATATATCATTCAAATATAATTCTTAAACCGAGAACGCTTATTGCAGTGTAAATATGCTGTTTGATAGTAGATATTTAGTAATTATTGTTGAATGGAAACTGTGAAAAGATGATAATAGAAAGTGTTTTACACTCAAATGCTCATTATAAAATTGAGAGTTTGCAAAGACGGCCCTGCAAATCAGTTTAAGAATAGATTAATAACTACAAGAGTTTGAAAGATCCAAAAAGAGTAAAGAATCGCCATCAACAAGAGCTATAGTGTAATTAGCCATGGTTAATGACCATTATAAGCTTAATGACCATATATAGGCTTAATTACCATTATTAATTACCAATATATAAGCCTAATGACCAAATATAGGCTTAATTACCATATATAGACTTATTTACCATATATGCGGTAGCGGTGTAGTGGTAGAGCGCTCGCTTCATAAACGAGTGGTTCCGAGTTCAATCCCCACCACGCCCCTGGTAGTATCGCGCTCAACTCGTTTCTCCGCGCAGCGGCCTTGTTCGTCAAGGTTCGTGTTTCGGAGTTATAGAGTTGAGAGAAGGTTATAGCCACAAATAAGTAGCCTCCTCGTCTGTAGTGGCCTTCTTGGCCTTGAGGAGGTGAATTAAAATAAAATAAAAAAATAGGCTTAGAAAAATTATTACTTATTAGTTCTACCCAGAAAAGCTGTTGGTAAACAATGGTAAAAAATTTCATTACATTGTTTTCAGTACTAACCTAAATATTCAAACTTCTTTAATTTTATCTGAAGATATTTATCAGAGAAGCAATGAATCTGAAATAAAAATTTCAGAAACCAAATAACGCAAAAGAGATAACTTTTTATTACTTTTTTTCTTGATAATTGCATATAAACAAAACCCTATTCTTTTTAGACTGAAACAACAACTTCAAAAAACAAAACAAAAAATCAAAAAGAACAAAATTTATAAAATGCAGTTTATTATGCATTCTGTAAAATAGATTTTAAATATATAAAATAAATAAAATTATGATTCACAATTATTTTATAAAATAGATTGTAAACTTTTTTTTCATGTTTATTGTTTTATTATTTGTTTTTGCATATTTATCATTAATTTTTCAACATTATATACATTTCCATTTTACACACGTTTGAAAAATGACTTGATGATTGTTAATTATAGAAATCTTTCAGTGGTGCAAAAATAAACTTATAGAAATCTCGCGGTGGTGCAAAAATAAACTTAGAGAAATCTTTCGGTGGTGCAAAAATAAACTTACAGAAATCTTTCGGTGGTGCAAAAATAAACTTAGAGAAATCTTTTAGTGGTGCAAAAATAAACTTATAGAAATCTTTCGGCGGTGCAAAAATAAACTTAGAGAAATCTTTCGATGGTGCAAAAATAAATTTAGAGAAATCTTTCGGTGGTGCAAAAATAAACTTATAGAAATCTTTCGGTGGTGCAAAAATAAATTTAGAGAAATCTTATAGTGGTGCAAAAGCATTTTTGGAAAGCAAAAAAAAAAAAATAAATACATTTTACTACTATTTATAAAATTGAAAAATAATCAGCGAAATCAATTAATGAACATATGAAGAAATTATAAAATCATACAGAAAACAAAAAATGACAATAATAATAAACCATAAATGTAAAATAGAAATAATAAATAACAAATAACTTATAACTTATTTATTCTTAGTATAAAAAAAAAGAACAAACCTGTATTAAAACTAATTTCAAAAGTAATTTTAGTAAAATCTTCAAGAAAAACTAGTTTGCAGAAAAAGAAAAAAAACTCAATAATAAATGATTATAAAACAAACTCTCACAAGAAAATTTCAAATATTTCATAACAATTTCTGTGGGGAAAAAAAATGAAATTTTTAATAAAATCATCAATATCTAAAAATAAATACTGTCAATTTAGTTATAATTTGTTAAGAGTTTTTTAAAAAATTTTTTATGAAATGAATATATTTTAACATTAGTAAAAATGTGACAAGGAATATTTTTCCAATGTTCATTTGCCCCATGATACTTTAATAAGAAAATTCATAATAAAAATTGAAAGAACAAAATGCTATGAAAACAGCAAAAAAGCTTTTCTTACCAGGTTTTCCATTAGCAATGAGAAGATCAGAAATTAAACCATCTTGAGCATCATCCCAAGGATTAGAAGCATATACTTTTATGTTTTCAAAATCTCTTGCATTGAAATTCTGCACTTTTAAAATACTATCTTTATTTAAATCAATAGTGAACAAATATATGTCGCCCTGTAAATACTGGCATATTACAATATTTGACCATTGACCTAATGGAAGCGGATTTGTTATAACAAAGTAGTTATTATCTATTGCAGAATAAATAGCAAGCCTTCCTGAACCATCTTCAAGAAACCAAATACCTGGACTTCTATCTCCTAAAGTTTTGCTGTTTCCACCCAATGTTAAATGAAGAACACTTTTTGAACCATTTGAATAACTTAATGGTTTCAAATTAAAAGAAACAGTGTAAACTTTTTTTAAGACATCAAGTGTTCCAAGAAATAAACCAGCCTTAATAGTGAACTCCTTTTTGTTGTTTATATGATCTAAAACAAATGCACTTTTTCATTTTATTCAAAAATGAAAAATAAAGTTTAGATCTTATATTTAATAAACTTTATTTAAAAACTTATATTATGATATATCATATAAATAAATAAATAAATATATATATATATATATATATATATATATATATATATATATATATATATATATATATATATATATATATATATATATATATACATATATATATATATATATATATATATATATATATATATATATATATATATATATATATATATATATATAAATATATATATATAGCGTATCGCAATTGCTTTTCACACCTTTACGATTAGTTTTTTCTTAAAAAAAATATATATATTTTTTTTTTTGTTAATATTTTTTTTATAATTTAGCATTTTTTTGGCAATTCTTAAAAGTAATTTTTTTGTCTAAGTTTTTTTATTAGCGTTCTTAAAGTATGTCACGCTAAATTTATCTTTTGAATAGAATGCATGATCATTTGTACTTTCGGATGGAGATTTTCATTCAACATCAATCACTTTTAAATTTAAATAACTTTAAATCTCTGTGTGGAAGCCATTAATATATATATATATATATATATATATATATATATATATATATATATATATATATATATATATATATATATATATATATATATATATATATATATATATATATATATATATATATATACACATATATATATATATATATGTATATATGTATGTATATATGTATGTATGTATGTATGTATGTATGTATGTATGTATGTATGTATGTATGTATGTATGTATGTATGCATGTATATATGTATGTATGGATGTGTGTATATATATATATATATATATATATATATATATATATATATATATATATATATATATATATATATATATATATATATATATGTATATATGTATGTATATATGTATGTATGTATATATGTATGTATGTATGTATGTATGTATGTATGTATGTATGTATGTATGTATGTATGTATGTATGCATGTATATATGTATGTATGGATGTGTGTATATATATAATATATATATATATATATATATATATATATATATATATATATATACACATCCGTTATATATATATATATATATATATATATATATATATATATATATATATATATATATATATATATATATATATATATATATATATATATATACACACTCTCTCACTAAATGTTAAAACTGTCAGATATTAGATATCTGTAATAAGTTAGTGTTAGCCTTTTTTTAAAAAGAAACTCACTTATTTATAAAGTACTATGAAAAGATATTTGGTAAGAAAAATGAAATACATAAAAAAATAACAACAATAAATAGTAATAAATATAACAATTCTATTTAAAAAAAGAAAAAAAAAGTAAATACCTTTAGGATAAAAAATAATAGGTTGCACTCCAATGCCTAGAAAAGTATAGATATATACATATTTATTATTAAAAAGATATTAAATAAACTCAGCTATAATTTTATTAAAACTTTAAAACATTTAGAAAACTAAAAAAAGTATTTAATTATAAGAACTCAACCAAAAAACTCAGTAGGATTCATAAAATGGATTTATGTGAAGCATTAAAACACTGGTAAACACAATACTGTACGTACCAAACTCATCAGCATAGCAAGGCCTGGTGCCGCCAAAACTTTACAACATTTTTGTAAAATTTGATTACTGAATAAACCAAACCAAACCATATATTGCATATATAAGTCCTACGTTCAAACCCCACCTCATCCCTGTTAGTACCGCTCTCAACTTGTTTCTCTGCGCAGGAGCCTTGTTTGTCAAGGTTCTTGTTTCGGAGTTATAGAGTTGAGAGAGGATTGTAACCACAACAAAAGTAGACCCCTCGACTGTAGTGGCCTTCTCAGTCTTAACATAAAATTAACATAACGATAAGTTAACATAAAATATATGTATATATATATATATATATATATAAAATGTAAGTTATATATATATATATATATATATATATATATATATATATATATATATATATATATACATATATATATATATATATATGTATATATATATATATGTATATATATATATATATATATACATAATATATATTTAACTTAGTTGTTCTAGCGGTAAACCAGCGGTAAACTAGAAAAGTAGATTTAACCATAAGTGAACTACAAAATGATTTCTAAAAACTAATTTCTAAAAATTGACAAATTTTAAAGTTATGTTAATGGTAGTTAGAGTTCAATTTTGAAAAACTATAGCTTTAACTTATAAATCAACTAAATCTCAAAATTTTTCTTTTTATGTAACTTTTCATGTATTTAAAGAGAGTTTTTAAGAATTTTCTCTTTAAAAGAAGATTTTATCCATGTTTTTCAACAAAAGTAAATTCCTTTTACTAAATAAGATGTCCCTAGCTGTTGAAAATATGTTAATAAATTAAATTTGTTTATCAAATTAAATTAAAAAAAGTTTTAACATGCCATTTTGAGCATAAATTTGTAAATTGTAGAATGTGCATTGTCAAGGGCACATAAAAAGTTCTTTTTTGATATGATTGGATTGATCAGCGAAAATAAGGTAATTTATTCCTTAGAGTATCAAGTATCTGTTAAAGTCAAACTACCTATAACAATTTTAATTATCAATAAACGCTGTTGTTATAAACAACTCATTTCAATATATCTTTGATATCAAAAAAAAAATTTTTTAAGAATTTTTTCTGTTTCAGAACCTTACCTTTCGCAAAATAAATGTTTACATAAATTAAAATGTTTACAAATATTTAATTAAAATTTTATTTTTCCATAAAACCTCCAAGTGTTAATTTCCTATAGCTTGAAATTTTTTTTTTAAATTTGACTCATTTGGGATGAAATGACTCATCAAAGAAATTTTTTTAAAAAATTCTAAAAAAAGACCTCAGTAACAGTCAATTTGGCAACTATAATTTAAATGCTTCTATAACAGATTGCATGTCTAATCTTTAAAACTTGTGAACCTGGCCACACCAACCCAGAACTTGTGCCACTAGAAAATCCTTAAAGACATACTTTTTAGAATTTAAAAAAAAAAATACTTTTAAGCTCAAATTAATGAAATTAAACAGTTAAGAAACATTTTTTTTTTTTTTGCATTTCTGAAATGTTTTATGTGTTGCAGTTGCAATACAAGTGCTTTAAAAAAGAAAATATTAACAACTTCTTCACGTTAAAAACTCAAATGAAAAAAAATTGGCATATAACAAAATTCTTCACGTTAAAAATTCAAAGTTAACTCTTTTGTTCCCTTTTCTTTCTTGTCTTTAAAACATGAAAAAGAAATTTCAAAATAATTTCATCTTATCCAATGAATAATGACAGGTCTTTAAAAAAAAAATTTACAATTCAATCCAGGATTATAGAATTTTAACTGCTATGTGGGTTACAGTTATTTTAACAACATGTCAAAGATGGAACAAAAGTTTGTTAAAGTTGCTTTGAAAAAAGAAACAATTTAAATAAAGTCTAAAATATATATATATATATAAAAAGAAAATAAAAGAAATAAAATTCTTCTCGACCAATTAAAGTTTTAAAATTTAAATAAAAAAAGAAATTTAAATCTTATAGCAGGTTTAAATCTTATAGCAAGTTTAAATCTTATAGCAGGTCAAAATCTTATAGCAGGTTGAGCCTACAACTGCTGTATTACCTTAATAAAAAAAAACTTAAAAGTTTTTTAAAAATATTAAACTTAATGAGTGTAACATAAAAACCTAACTACAAAGACCAAAAATTACTTCTAAATATTGTTTACTTGTTGATTCTTGGAAGATTAAACAACAACTCTAAAATACCAAAAATAGCACTGTAAAATACACTAAAACAGACATACATTTTTATTGGATAATTAAACATGATCACAATACTAATTTAATATGCTAACTTTTTCAAACTTTATCTATCTGGACACTAATAATGCTATAAATAACTGTAAAAATTCTACATAAAGAGAAAAAAATATTTAATCTTTTAATCTTAAAACTACTGTCAACACTGGAAAAATGATTGACAACACTGGATAAATGATTGACAACACTGGAAAAATGATTGACAACACTGGATATATGATTGGCAACACTGGATAAATGATTGACAACAATGGATAAATGATTGAAAACAATAGATAAATGATTGACAACACTGTATGCATTGTCAATCATTAAAAATACTTGAAATTGAAATACTTTAAAATAAAAATAACAAAAACCTCTTAAGAACGATTTTGAAAATTAAAAAAAAATCCAAACAAAGATGCTTTAAAATATAAAAAGAGTTCAATATATCTAAATGTCACACAAAATTACAAACTATTTTATAATTGATGTAGTAGCAGACTAAATCTTCGAACCTTACACTTCGGGACACACTCAACTTGATTCTCAGTGCAGTGACCAGTGCAGTGAGAGTTTAATAATGTTTGTGTCTATAGGTTTGAATATAAATTTGAGACAAAGTTTCAAATAAAATAATTGTAAAAAAATAATCAGTAGCTTTTCGAACAATCTTGGGGACATATTAATGGAGAAAAAAACTTAATGATTATATTTTGATAAAAATGAGAAATGAGGATATAAATATAGATATACTTAAATGATAAAAAAAGTAGACATTTTCTCATTATTTTAGGACTTGAAAAATGACACAATGAATGTTAAAAGTATGTTAAAATTAGCCAAGATTAAGTAAATTTTGAAGCTTTTAAATGTTTCTGTTTCTTTTAGAGAAAACTAACTTTCAAAGTAAAGTTTGCCTAATTTACATAAACTTACAATCAACTGCACAATGTTAATAGAAACATTATTATTATGGCTATATTTTACCCACCTAATATTCAAAAACATGAAACTGTTATTTGTGGGAACAGCAACACCAACCTTTGAGTTTGCTCAAAGCCAACTCTTCATTCAAACAGGAAAAGAATCAAGTAAAAATTTTCAGTTTCATTCTTTGTTTAAAAATGACAAACAAATCTTGAAAAAGCTTGGAATTAATGTGGAACATAATGACAATCAATACCGTATTTAAATGAATATTGTTGCCTATAGTTTGGAAAAAGAAGCATAAAATATTTTTAACAGTAATTAGATTTTGTAGGTTCCACTATACAGGAAAGAAATACAACAACTAAATATGTTGCCATAAAATCTCTTCAATAATGTAAAACAAAGCTTTATCACAGATCACAAGTCAAGTCAAACAGAACACAAGTTTGTTAAAAACAGTTTATGTGGTCAAGATAAGCAATGTGAAAAAGTAAAGTTTGACTCAATGTTTTCAAGAAAATATTTACAAAAGCCATTGCAAAATCTTGTGTACAAACTCAAAATTTTTATTTGAATCTTCTTCCTGAAATACTATTACTAATCAGCAGAATCCTATTTTTATGCACCATTGTTAAATAACAATTTTCCAATACCAATTCCAATACCAGCATTCTTAATGGAACTTTGTAAGAACAATGAACATTTTTAATAATTTTTGAAGTATTTTTTTTTATTCATAATTATGGATTTCCATAGTTTTTTAAAAAAGCCAATTACTAACCTCAAGTTTTTACCTTTGAATCTGCATACCAATTTAGTTTGAGAAAATTAAGTCAAATTTAATTTCAAAACATTCAATTCTAACATTTGTTATGTCTAACATTTAAATGAATGTACACTTGTAACATTTAAATAAGTCATACCACTTATGATATCTTTCAATAAGTTAAATCTTATACTATTACTAAAAGTAAGTCACACAATTTGTGGTACCTTTCAGCAAGTCGCATTATTTACAGTTCCTATGTTGCATTATCGAGGTCTTTTTTCTTTTATATATTTATTTTAATCTGCTACATTGTAGATTTAGAAATGTCAGTATTGCCCATACTTAACAGAGTTGTCAATTAAAATTTTATTCAGACATAACATTTAAGTAACATAAATAACACAATCTTTTTTCAACCTCTTTTTCTTTTATTAATTTTAATAAAAACCTTATCAGTGGTATCAAAAACATCTTGGTGAACAAAACAAAAAGTAACAAATAGACGTGAAACAAACTAGGTGGAAAAAACTTTGATATTAAAATTGTAATCTAAATTAACTAAATTAAAATATCTCTCTATATATATACATACATACATACATACATACATACATACATACATACATACATACATACATACATACATACATACATACATACATACATACATACATACATATATATATATATATATTATATATATATATATATATATATATATATATATATATATATATATATGTATGTATGTATATATAGAGAGAGATTTTAATTTAGTTTATATATATATATATATATATATATATATATATATATATATATATACATATATATATATGTGTATTTTTTCA